GTACGTGTGTTGTGTTGGTTGTCTTGTCCTTCATCTCGGGTGTATGCGCAGCTCAAATCATATACACACAAACGGCAACGCTCACTCAGCCGCCAGTGCTTCTCTCCCTTCTCTCTCGGCTTCTCCCCACCATACACACCCGCTGCAGAGTCGATGGGGGCCCCCAGGGGGGCCCCCACTGGGGGGGCCCCCTGGGGGGCCCCCAGGGGAGAGACGGGAGTCAAGGAAGAAGGGGGGGCCCCCTGAAACACTTTAGAGGGGAGATGGGTGCTCTGCAGCTTCTCGTCCATGCTATGGGGGGCCCTCTTCACGCCTGCTGCTGCTGCTGCTGCTGCTGCTGTTGCTGCTGCTGCTGCTGGTGCTGCAGCAGGGGCATCGGCAGCAGCAGGACCCTCGTTTGCTGTCTTTAGGGCTAATACTGCGCGCCCTCTCCCCCCCTCAGGGCCCCCAGAGTTTGTCTTCTGAGCTGCAGCAAAAGGAACAGCAGCAGCAGCAGCAGCAGCTGCTGCTGCTGCTGCTGTGGTTGCTGCTGCTTTTGAATGCAGACGGTTTGCTGCAGCAGCAAGACCCGCAAATGGTGCTGCTGCTGCTGCTGCTGTTGCTGCAGCAGCAGCAGCAGCAGCACGAGACACACCTGACGATGCGAGACCCTGGGGGCGAGAGTGCTTCGACGGGCGCAGCAGAAGAGGAGCAGCAGATGTATGCTCAGACCCCTCCGCTGTACACCCGAAAGCAGCCAGCTCTGCTGTCTCCCTGGACCTCTTGCATGCAGCAGCAGCAGCAGCAGCAGCAGCAGGAGCAGCAGGAGCAGGAGCAGGAGCAGGGGGAGGAGCGCAGCAAGCAGTAGATTCACCCTGTTGCTGCTGCTGCACCTGCTGCACCACCTGCTGCTGTTGCTGCTGCTGCTGCTGCTGCTGCTGGGGGTTTGCGGCGGACATTGTGGAGAGGGGTTGGGGAGCTGCGTGAATAAACTTTTTTAAAAGTGATGAGAGCTGAAAGCTGTGCAGATGACTCGGGCGTGCTGCAGCTGCCTATACACCTGAAATATCCCCCCGTTGGCCGCCACCGCCGCGGCCCTCTCCC